CTGTTTCCTTGGAGCACAGAAGATATCGAGGGCAGTGAGTCTACTGTGTAGGACACAATATAGTGTCCATGTCATTGCACATTTGTCTAAAACCCACAGCATGGACACCGGGCATGTGACCACAGAGTGACCCAAAATGCAGCCATGGCCGTGAGAGATGATGATGAGCAGGTTCTTCATGTGACAGATGTGCTGGTCTGGGCTTAGCATGTGATTCGGACATGATGCAGTTGAAGGGATTTTAGTAGGATTTGATTTTGAAAGTATTATTTCATGAGCACGGAGGAAAATTTTATACTCAAGAATTTCCATAGCTAAATGAATAACCCCCTTCCTCCATAGCCCTCCAGTGAGCCAGGTCACTAGCAAGTTATCATTTCTCTTTCCAGAAAAATATATCTATGCCTGTATCTAGTCACTAGTGTTTACTATTGTATTAGTACAAGAGTGTAAGACACAGAGTTGGAGAAATGATTGTAAATCAGATCATGTATCTGATAAAGGACTTGTGTTTAGAATTGATATTATAAATGAAGTCTTACAACTTAACAATAAGAAAAGAAATGATCCAATGCAAAAAATGGACAAAAGACTTCACCACTGAAGGATACAGATGCCAGATAATGGTGATGCTCAAGATCACAGGTCATTAGGGAAAGACAGACTAAAAATAACAGTGATGCCACTATATGCTTCTTTTTTTTTTCTTTTAATAGAGGGATGTTTTATTCATTTATTTGTTTGTTTGTTTGCTTGTTTGTCTATACATGCACTGGGTACAGTCAGAAGTGCGGGAGGGCGAGAGAACTCACCAGAGCAGGGAGCAGAACAGGCAGAAGGACCGAAGCACACTGCTGAGGGGAGCAGCGGGCGGCAGAGGAGGTCTGCGCGCCATGTGGGACCCTCCTCCGGTGGCCAGGGAGCAGCCGGGGATCGAACCGGCGCCGCAGAGGCCGCGGGCAGCCTCGCAACCCAGCATTCAACTGCTGCGCCACCGGGGAGGTCCACTATATGCTTCTTAGAAGGCAAAAGGCCCCCTAAAATGGGCCACACCAAGTGCTGACTGCAGCAACAGGACCTGGCAGGATAGGATGACCATGACCTAGTCACTAGGGAGGTTCTGATAGTTTCTTTTAAAGCCAAACACAGACCGACCACACAGTCCAGGGACCACTGTCTCTGCTATTTACCCAATCTGAAAACTTGTATTTGCAAAATGACAAAGAAACCAAACCAAAAACCCGGCACAGAAGTAAATGTTTATAGCAGAACCCCCACTAAGTGCAAGCTGCCCATAGTGACTTCCTTCCGAAGACAACAATAACTAAAGAAAAGAAAAACAAAAGTGATGGAGAATGGCCTCAGATGGAGGCCATTGTGCCTGAGCAGCTCTGCTCACAGGTGTCATCAGCAGAGGAAACTTTAGAAACTGTCAGCCAGAGGCACTAAGGAGACATGGTTGGAACTTCATGTGGTGTCCCAGGTGGGATGTGGGAGCATGAAAAGAACATTAGGAAAATAAATGAAAGCCAAATACAGCGCAGAGTTTAGTGAAAGTGCATCAAATATTGCTTCCTTAGCTGCTCAAATGCACTGCGGTCACATGAGATGTTAACAATTTGGAAATGATGTGGATTATACAGGAACTCTACTGCCTTTGCCATGTCTGTAAATCTAAGAGTATTTTTAAAATGTTGCTTGAAATTAAATTTTAAATTAAAATTACATTTAAAAAATAGCCCTCAACAAAGGGCCTCCCCGGTGGCGCAGCAGTTGAGCGCTGGGTTGCGAAGCTGCCCGCGGCCTCTGTGGTGCCGGTTCGATCCCCGGCTGCTCCACAGCCACCGGAGGAGGGTCCCACATGGCGCGCAGACCTCTCCTGCCGCCCGCTGCTCCCCTCAGCAGTGTACTTCGGTCCTTCTGCCTGCTCTGCTCCCCGCTCTGGCTCTGGTGAATTCTCTCACCCTCCCGCGCTTCTGACTGTACCCAGTGCATGTATAAACAAACAAACAAATAAATAAATAAATAAAAACTAAAAAAAAAAAAAATAGCCCTCAACAAAGTATAGTTTGTAGAAGGAAACTGTACAAACTATATATATTTCCCCAGGTATTGCACTGGAGGGACTGGAGAGAGCGGTTCTGGGGATAAAAGCTGGAAACCTCACACACAGGGCGGGCTCCGGAGTCTCCTCTCCTCTGGGCCCTGCTTCTCTGACTGCTCACAGAGCATCTCGCCCCCGGGACGCCGCCCTCCAGGACCCCCAACTCTGCCCACCTCAGCCCCGCCCCGTCCTGGCGGCTCCACCAGAATCCGGAGCAGCGCGGCAGCGCCCCCGTGTGGCCACAGGGCTGAGCACAGGAGCCCAGAGCTGCCCTTTCTCCTGCTCAGCCAGGCCCTCCCCAGGCTCCTTGGGCTCCCAGCGGAAGGACAGGCCCACTGTCACGTTAGGGGTCCTCAAATTGACCCCCTAGTGAGTAACTATGGGTACAGGCCTCAGGGAAAAGCCAGGTGTCGAGGTCATAAAAGTTGCTCCACCAAGTCTGAGTTCCCAAATTATAGTTTCCCTCAATCTCTTTGGATGGGAACTTGGGCTCCAAAGTCCCTGTTATTTGCTCCTGCTTCCAGGCATAAAAGTGCCTCTTCCTGATCATCAGCCCTAAATTCTCCATCCCTAGGGTGAGGGGAGGGGCCACATAACAGACTCTCAGGCTCTGTTCTAGACATTCTGAGTCTTCATGAGCGTCCAGGTGACTCCTGTGCTCACTGAAGTGTGGGCTCCCTGGTCTCCGTGTCTTCTCCATGTGGGGTCAGACTGTGCAGTTGGTTCTAGGGAGGTGTCTGCTCCGATTATTCATCACTGTAGAATCTGGGGTTCAATTCTGCTCCTTTCTCTTGCTCAATCATCACTTTCTGGGTGACCCTTACATGCTCAAAACTGTAAATAACATTGACATCACATCACCTCCCAGATTTCTTTCTTACCTCAGACATTTCACCTGTGCCCCAGACTTGTCTGTCCAACTGCCAGCATCACTTTCAATTCTAATGGATCTGATTCAACTTTGCTAAAGTGAATGCCTGGGATGCCCACATATGGCTCTTCTAGGGTCTTCCCCATGTCACTGAGGCTCCACCTCTCTGCCTGCACAGTCTGAAACACCAAGTGTCATCCTTGACCCCTTTCTCACAGCCCAGGAGTAGCAAACACCGTGAAGTCCATGTCTAAATGTGCACAGTCCTATCACTTCCTGTTATTTCCCTGCTCACCCCCCAACAAAGCCACCAACCTCTCTGTCCTGGGACTTGCACTGGTTTCCTCCATTTCTCTTCCCACCCCTCACCCTTCCATGCTGCACAGCAGCCAGACTGAGGCTACCAGAGAGAAGTCCCACAAGTGTGTATCTGTTCAGAAGGTCTTGTCACCCCACATCTTACTCAGAGAGTCAAACCCTCCCAACATCCTCAGGCCTGAATGATCTGGGTGCACACAGATCCCATTTCCATTGGCCTCTGCTCCAGCCCTTGGCTTCCTTGCTCATGTCAGTCACACAGACACATTCCTGCTCAGTCATCTGCACTAGAGGTTGTCCTATCTGGTTTGAACTTCCTGCACATCACATCCTTGTGGGCAATGTGTCCATCAGACTTTTTCTCAAAGGTCACTTCAGTGAGACCCACACTGACCACGCTGGGAAGAAAACCATCCTGTCACCTTCCCACATCCCTTACCCACTTCTAACCAGACACGCATGGGTTACTGTCTGATCTGTTGTCACACAGTCCCCAGTGTCCCCTCCCCACTAGGACACACTCTCTGCAGGCTGCAAGTTTTGCGTGTTTTTAGTTCATTAGGTTTTCCTAGTTGCATAAACAGTCAGTCACACACCTGGTGCAACAGTTATCAGTTGTGTCATCAGTGTAGAGCACTTCCCCATTCTAGAGACAGTGTCTTTACTAATGTGACACATTACACAGGTGTATTTCTTTTGAAAAGGGGTTTGTAGTTTTTTTTAAAGATTTATTTATACTTGCATAGAAAAACTGGGGTGTAGGTTGGAGTGCATGGATGGGGTTGGTAAGAGGATTCACCAGAGAGAGTGGGGAGCAGAACAGGCAGATTTTCTGGAATACACTGCTAAGGGGCGCAGCAGGCAAGACAGGAATGGTCTGCTGTGCCACAAGTGGGTAGCTCCCTGGCTGGGGATTGAATTCAAGGTGTAGAGGTGATAGTGCTGAGACTTAATCCCTGGTTCACCAGGGAGGCCCAAGTTCCTAGGCTTATGGGTCCTATTTTTCAGCCAACTATGATGGTAACTGACTCCATCAACCCACGGGTCTTGATTAGCACCAGCACTGGGGTTACTACATTTAAGGGCAGGGTTACAGGGAGAAGCTGTAGAGAAAAATAGAAATCTATCAGGAACTTATCTAAATCCATCAGGAAATTATCAAATCCTCCTCTCTAGTAATACCAGGATTTTGTTGGAAAAGATGGAAAGAATAATCCCAAAAAAGTCCTAAATGAGGCCAAAAATCAGATGAGTCTGGAAATTCATCTCACCAGACTCTGTGTTCAGGGGACACCCTGGGCCTTGCAGGGACAATGACAGATGCTCCTGCTGCTGTCAGAGACAGGGACCAAGAGGACATGAGGCCTGGTCTCTAAACGTCAAAGAGAATAGCACAAAACAAATAGGAATCCATAGGAAGGCTAGACCTTGAGCTGAGCCTGGGCTGACCCGGCCACACAAACACTCCCTGCCCAGACTACACAAGGCTAGGTGGGGTCTGACCCTGTGATCACAGGCCCTGCTGGGACAGGTGCTACTGAAGGACAAGGACAAATGAGCAGAGAGATGACCCCTGAGGAGTGACCATGTCAAAGCCCCTGATGCACTGAACCCCGACTGCACATAGGCCCCGTCCCCCTCGGCTCCTCACAGCCTCTCCTGCCCCCACCTGCACAGACTCAGCACAGCAAACACGTGATTCTGAAAGGTTTCCCATTCATTTCATCTCAAATTTTAGGAATTATTTTTATTAGCCCACCAAACCCATCAGACAAGCTTACAAGCAGTAATTTCAGAACTCAATTATTATTTCAAGAGGGAAGTAGTTACTATTCTTGAGGAAAACACAAAGACAGGGGTAGACACAGACTAAGCTGCCTCTGCTGGAGCAGGAAAGTCATCAGGGAGAGACACAGGTCACTGTGTGGAGGTCCTGGTGGGCAGGGCTGGGCCAGTCTCCCCACCTCCTCACATTATCTCATAAGAACAGAAACAGATTCCAATGCCGTTTGCAGCAAAGGAAACCAGAGGATCTTGAAGTTACAAAGTGGGGGTGAGAAGAAATCCTGCATCACTCAGCCCCCACAAGGCAGCTGGCTCACACTGTGAAGGAAAAGGATCATAAAAGAATTCAAAGAAACACCCAAGTGTCACATTCTCCATTGTCCACTTCATCCTCAGAATGTCCCCCTCACAGCTTCCCCATCACCCTCCCAGTCCCCTGCGAATCTCCACTTTACTGGGCTCTCTCTGGTGTTCACTTCCGGTCTCTGGCTTGTTCTCCTTCTGGTGGTTCTGTTCCCAGACTCCACCCTTATAAGCCCTGTCTCAGCCCAGGTGAATCCCATCTACATATGCCCACACCCTACTCTAGGTGCCCGCCATCAGGCATGCATTCAGGACCAGAAGGTTCCATCATCAATCCTGATGGCAAGAGAAGCCTGACAATCATTTATCCTACACACACTTACCTGCAGCCTGAGAGTAGCTTCCCCCTTGTCCTCCTGTGGGAAGAAGCATCAGGTGAGTCCAGGGAGGAGTCAGCCTATGAAATCCTAAAAGAATCCCCAAGTGTGGACCACAGGGAAGTTTCCAGAACTGTGACTGGACACTTAGGGTAAGACCAGGAAATATGAAAAAAGGAGATGAGAGGGGATGGGACCAACTGCCTTCTGGGTCTGTCCTCAGAAGGGACCTTCCCCTCTGCCATTTGCTAGAATCAGGGCCCATCACCAGAATTATCAAGGTGAACGTGATTCATTTTCAAAAATGCTTTACAAAAGAAGGTTAGCAATCAGCTCCAGACTGGGCAACACACGTGTGTGGATGGCTGTAGGGTAAGTAAAAACTGTGTCAGGCTTTTTGCACTCCCACCATTAGATTAAATGCATGCCTGAAGGCAGGCACCGGGAGTAGGGTGTGGCCATAAGTAGGTAAGAATCACCTGGGCTGAGAGTGCGCTTATAAGGACAGTGTCACAGGGACACCAGTGGACCAGCAGAACCACCAAAAGGAGAACAAGCAAGAGAGCAGCACCAGCAGAGAAGCAGAGGCTACGGGAGAATGCCGAAAAGTCCAGAAAGAGTGAAGATTGTGGGGGCTGGGAAGCCTGCCAGCCCCCCCTCCCCCCCCCAATATCCCTGCCTGCCATGTACCTGGTAAACTCAATAAAAGCCTGAAAAAGCCACCGAGGGTTCCAGGACTCCTCCTTCACATGTCTGCTCAGGTCATAGTGAACCTGCCCTGTGCTCATCCTGCTGCTACAATGGTACTTCCCATTACCAGCTAGGGCTAGTTCTACCTGTGGCCTGAAAGCCCCCGTGGACATGATCCCCCCACTTCCTTCCCTACCTGAGCACTTCTTCTTCCACATCACAGCTGCACCAGTGCAACTCCAGTGAGCACAGCTCCAAGGAGAACCAGGCAGCAAAGATGCCAGGGGTGGGAATGGAGGATTTGGGAGGGGGAGGGGAGGGAAGGGAAGGGGAGACCCTGAGCCCCAAGCCTCCATCTGATGCTCTGAAGGTCTCCAGAAGGGCTTCTGATGCCCCTGAGAAGCTCTGTGCCACGTTCCCCTCCTTACCCCAAGTCAGGACTCGGGGTTCCAGCAGTCCCTCATGCTGCACATGGCACGTGTATCTCTGCTCCTCTCCAGAAGGCACCACCACAGCCGCCCACTTCTGGAAGGTTCCGTCCCCCCCAGGCCTGGTTTCCACCAGCTCCGTGTCCTGGGTCAGGTCCTCCCCATCTCGCTGCCAGGTCAGGGCGATGTCGGCAGGGTAGAAGCCCAGGGCCCAGCACCTCAGGGTGACCTCATGCTCAGAGATGGGGTGGTGGGTCACGTATGTCTTTGGGGCATCTGAGGAGAAGGGTGGAACTTACACACTCTGGGTTTTTCTCTCATGGACCCTGAAGAACCCTCCTGTGACCATCCTCAGAATGGACAGGGCAGTGGGTTTGGAAAGAGGAAGCACAAAATCTAGAAACCAGCCTGATCTGGGGAGTCTGGGATAATCTCTTATTCCTTAGAAAGTTCTAGAATTAGGGAGACAACTCTGGATAGGAGGATGCAGTTCTCTAGGGAGGAGAGCACGGGTTTTTGCTCCTGACCTGGGGACTCAGAAAAGCAGGAGTCAGATCAGAAAAATGTCCTCAGACCAGTAACAAGACCCTGAGGGAGAAACTGATGGTTCCCAAGAGGGCTGCTGGGTCAAAAGGATCAGTGAAGGGTGATTCCAGGGCTGGTCTCCCCTCAGGCTCAGGAGACACTGGATTCCCTAACTATTCTGAGGAAAAGTGGGGTCCTCTGGGGAGTCAGAAACCCGGGGGGGGGTGTCCTCCCACCCCCCCCGACCAGAGAGGGGGCGCTGCTGTGACCCTGACTCCACCCTCCCCGCGGTGCCGGCCTGAGGGGGGTTGGGAGACCCGAGGCCCCTCTTACCTGAGCGCTGCAGCGTCTCCTTCCCGTGCTCCAGGTAAATGCGCAGCCACTGCACGCACCTGCCCTCCAGGTAGTTCCTGACGCGCTCCGCCTCCCCGGCCGCCTCCAACTTGCGCCGGGAGATCTGCGCGGCTATGTCCGCCGCGGTCCAGGAGCGCAGGTCCTCGTTGAGGGCCAGGTAATCGGCGCCATCATAAGCATACTGACTGTACCCGCGGAGGAGGCGCCCGTCGGGCCCCACGTCGCAGCCGTACATCCCCTGGAGGGTGTGAGAGCCTGTCCCCGCCCCGTCACCCCGCGGTCACCCCGCCCGCCCCCCGGAATAAACCGAAACCGACGCGGGAACCTCGCGGGGAACGTCCCGGGGCTCGTCCCGGGTCGAGGGTCCGGCGGGTCCCCCTGCCTCGGGGGACGCTCGGGCCGGGGTCTGGGGTCCCCGCCCGCCCGCGGGGGTGGGGTCGTGAGCGCCCCGGGCCCGCCCCGCTCACCGGCCGCGCTCTGGTTGTAGTAGCCGCGCAGGGCGCGCAGGCTCTCTTGGAACGACTGTGCGGTGGCCCTCGCGGTTCGCGTCTCCCCCTCCCAGTACCCCGGCCCCTCCTGCTCCATCCAGGGCGCCCGCGGCTCCATCCTCTGGCCTGGGGAGTCGCTGTCGAACCGCACGAACTGTGTGTCGTCCACGTAGCCCACCGAGATGAAGCGGGGCTCCCCGAGTCCGGGCCGGGACCTCGCGGTGGAGAAATACCTCAGGGAGTGGGGGCCTGGGGGCGGGAGGGGAGACCCGGGCTGGAGATACATGGCGGGAGGGGATGGGGGAGGGGGCTCCTGAGACTGAAATGGGGCAGCGGATGAGAAGGCTGGACGCTGAGAGGGACAGAAAGGGGTCAGGGCATGGTGGGGTCACGGAAGACAACAGGGTCAGCAGTGGGGGTGAGGAGTCTTTCCTGGGTCCTTACCCCCACCCGGGGTTCATCTACTATCCCCCTCCTCAGTTGCCTTTTCTCTCCAGAGCCTGCACTCACCTGCCCAGGTCTCTGTCAGGGCCAGGGCCCCTGAGAGCAGCAGGAGGAGGGTTGGGGGCCTCATGACGGGTGCTCTTGAGGTCTGGGGAGACTCTTGAGTCCAGACTGGGCAGCTGTGTTGCTGGTTGGAGTCTTTGGAGACCTCCAGGCAATGGGGAGTGAGAACTGGGGGTGAGTCACCAGTATTCAAAGGACTTGACACCTGTGTGGGAGAGAGAGGTGAAACTGTGGGGAGATGATCCCCAACAGTAACCTTCCCAGCCCCATGCAAAACCCATGGGGCTGAGACCCTGAGAACCACACCCTATACCTGGGACTTTGCTGCCCCTCCTCTCCTGCTCCAAGGTCTTTGTCACACAGTTGCCTTCCTGAGTCCTGGCCAGGGATTAGGGCAGCGATTTTTCAAGCTTTTTTTGTTTCAGGATCTCTGCAGTTTTAAAATTAGCCAGGACCCCGGTATAAGTTTAGGAGGTTATAGCTCTCAGGATTTACTACATGAGGAATAAAAACAGTTTAAAGATATTTTCATTTAATTTAGAATAATATTAATAACCCAATGTGTGTTCAAAGTGTCTTAAGGAAATGTAGACATTTAATGAAAATAATCACGGTCATGAGTGGATCTTTTACAGCTTACATTTTTGCAGTTATTTTTCCTCTAATCTCACTAGAGGCATGTTGGATTGTCATAGTTTCTCCTGCATTTACTCTCTGTTTTGGTGGGCCAATGAAGAACTATACAGCCTCTCTGAAATATGTGAAAATAGCATTTTAAGTACTTTTCACATAATTGTGACTATTTAACTTTGTTCCACTTCTGCAATAAATTGAAACTATACAAGTGGTGGTTTTTCAAATGTTATTTGCAAAGTGAATGGTAGAACAGTATCATTGAATGTTTTCTATTCTGTTATATTAATTCCATAGGCCTCTACTGATTATTAATCTTGTACTAATACATGACTTTAAAAAGTGCTGCATTGTCTTACCAGGTTATATGATCTTTATGTTAATTATTCGAGAATCAAATTTTGAAAATCATATGTTTCATGTTCCAAAAATCCCCAAAGAAAAGTAAGCAGCTACTGGAAGTTGTCAAGTTTATAGTGATGGGACACAATTTTCCACTATCTGGTTTTCACTTGGAGCTTGTACTTTATCAAGGCAGTTAATTACTATCATTTATCAACTGTCAGTTCATTTTCTTAAAGGGACAGATCACATTCATTTTCTAGAAAGTGTGTACAGAATAACCAAATCTAAATAATGATAGTTTTTGTCATTCATCCCTTCAAGTAAAGATGGTAGTACCCCCCTCCCAAAAGGTCTAATTCTCCTTATACAAATTAGTTTCCTTGGCACATAGTACTTTGGATTGTGGCAGAATTGACTTATATGTGCTTTATGTCATCAGAAACTGGGTTTACTTTGTCTCCAGATTCTTTCTCTCAGGCCTGAGGAGATGCTCCCTGCTTTCCTGAGCCTCCCTGGCCAGGACCCCACAGCTTTTCATCCTGGACAGGGTGGTCTCTGCCCACATCCCTGCTCCCTCCTGTGCAGCCCTTCTCCTCTGGGCTCAGGTGCTGGCCCTGCCTGTGGAAGGTTGACAATGATGGTCATCTCCAAACTTGAGGCCTCATTTCAATGCTTTTCTGTTTCTCATTGTTAACAACAGCTCACAGTGTTTTTACTCCCTCCTGGTCTGAAAATGCTTTGTAACATTTTTATTTTATTTAATTTTTTTTAAAGATTTATTTATGCATACAAGAACCAGCGTACAGGGCAGATGTGCAGGAGGGTGAGAAGACTCACCAGAGACAGAGTGGGGAGCAGAACAGGCAGACTGACTAAAATATACTGCTGAGGGGAGCAGCGGGTGAGCCAGGAGAGGTCTGCTGAGCCATGTGGGTGTCTCCCTGGCCAACCAGAAATCAAAGCTGCGCTGCTGAGGCTGAAGCCAGCTTCACAGCATTGCACTCAACTGGCTGTGCCGCTGGGGAGGCCCAACATTTTTATTTTTATAGTGAATACAGTTTATATCCTAAGAACTATACCACATATATATGTACACACACACACACACACACACATACACACACACACCATAACCAAAATAAAGCAGGTCTTCTAAATTTTGAAAGGGACGGCAGGTGGTGGTCGTCAGGCTCAGCGCAGAGGTGAAGGGCTGGGCTCTGTGTCTGCTCTGGGGAGGGCCCTCACAGTCCTTCCTCTCTCCTCAAGATGCTGTTCTCTGTGGGGCCCATGCAGGGTGTCCCCCTTCTCTACTGGGTATGGGCATTCATTACTATATTGTCAGTTCTAATGGTTTTAAGAAGATGGTCTTGGGCTTCCCCGGTGGTGCAGCGGTTGAGCACTGGGTTGCGAAGCTGCCCACAGCCTCTGCAGTGCCGGTTCGATCTCTGGCTGCTCCCCGGCCACCGGAGGAAGGTCCCGCATGGCGCGCAGACCTCTCCTGCCGCCCGCTGCTCCCCTCAGCAGTGTACTTCGGTCCTTCTGCCTGCTCTGCTCCCCGCTCTGGCTCTGGTGAATTCTCTCACCCTCCCGCGCTTCTGACTGTACCCAGTGCTTGCATAAATAAATAAATAAATCTTTGTATAAATAAATAAATAAATCTTTAAAAAAAAAAGAAGATGGTCTTGTATCTCATATGTATCTCATATTTTTCGCTCTTTTCAGTGGGAAGGTGTCTAAGGCAAAATCATTCAGTGACAAGATGGCAGTCCTAGAGTAGAGGCTCAGAGCCTGAGAACACATGACTGAGGGGGATCTGCCAAGTGTTTGATAGTGTCAGGTATTGTGTAAATTATTTTTGATAATAAATGATTTTGATAATAACTAATATTTGCTATTCACGCTTACCCAGAGGATTCATAAATACTCAAGAACATACACAAATACATAAGTTACATCATTCTTAGTCAACCAAGTCTCCTCTACTCTGAACCCCTGTAGTCAACAACTTCTCATTTTCTCCCCAGAAAAGTCTATATATGCATCGATATGTTAGGTCTGTAAAAGAGCTTGGGCCACAGACCAAGAGAAAATATTTGCAAAATATGGCTAATATAATACATGTTCTAGAATATGCATGGAACCCTTAAAATTCAACAAGGAACAAATAACTTTCTAAAACTGAGCAAAACTCTGAATAGTTTCCAAGGACCTCATTGATGGCAACTAGGCATATGAACAGAAACTCAATGTCATATGTTGACATATGTAAATGCAAGTGCAAATTAAAGCAACATGGACACGCTATGCACACCTATTATATGGCCTAAATCCAAATCCTAGTATAGCAGCCCCCCTTTATCCACATGGGATGTATTACAAGACCCCCAGTGAATACCAGAACCACCAATAGTGTGGAGCCCTCTATATACAAAGATTTCCTGCACATACATACTTATGATACATTTACTTTATAAATCAGGTACTGTGTAATTAATAACAATAACATTAAAACAGGACAATCAAAATCACAACAATGTAATGTAATAAAAGTTGTGTAACTGTGATCTCTCTCTAAATATGAAAAAATTTTAACTTAGTTTAATTTCGGGAAACTGAAGCCTTGGAAAGTGAAACCTCAGATAAGGGGGCACACTATGCACCAGGTGCTGACCAGAATGGGGAGCAATAGGGACCCCCATTCACTGCTGGAGGAAATGCAAAATGAAACAGTCACTATGGAAGAGATAATAACTAATTCTTATTAAGTGAAAAACAGATTTACCCTAAAACCTGAGTAAATCACTCTTCTGGGTATTTACCCAACTCACTTGAAAACTTTTGTTCACACAAAAACTGCACAGAAATGTTTATAGCAGACCACCCCTTAAGTGTGGGCTCCACATGGTGACTCCTTCCAACAACTGCTGTGTGGAAAGGAACACAGGAAATAAAGAACTTCCCAGAGAGGAAGTGGAGACCCAACCTCAGCCAGGTGGGGAAAGTGATATCATCAGTGAGTCAGGTGCAGGTGACTCTCCAGGGTGCTGTGCTGAGAGTGGCCCTTCATGTTTCTGTTTTTCCCCCAACCCCATCACCCCAGTCAAGCAAACTCAAATTTTTTCTTTGATTTCTTCGTTAACCCAATGATCTTTCAGTACCATGTTGTTCAATCTCCATGTAGTGGGCAATCTCCTTGCTTTCTTTTCATGGTTTTCTAGTTTAATATCTTTATCATCTGAGGAAAGACTTGGTATGATTACAGTCTTCATGTACTTTTTTTAAGATTTATTTCTACAAGAACTGGGGTACAGGCCAGAAGCGTGGGAAGGTGAGAGGATTCACAAGAGACAGAGTGGGGAGCAGAACAGGCAGACGGACCAAAAACACTGCTGAGGGGAGCAGCGGGTGAGACAGGAGAGGTCTGCCGCACCATGTGGGTTGTTCCCTGCCTGGCCGGGTATCGAACCGGCAATGGAGAGGACGTGGACAGCTTCACAGCGCTGCGCTCAACCCGCTGCACCACTGAGGAGGCCCAATCTTGTATTTTTTGATGTTTGTGTTGTGACCCTTTGTGTGGTTCATCCTGGAGAATGATCCACTAATATTTGAGGAAAATGTGTATTCAGGTTCTTTTTTTGAAGGGGTAGCAGTGTCCTATAGATGTTCCATGTGGTCTAGATTTTCTTTAAAGCGATTGCACCCTTGCTTATTTTCTGTCTTGCTGCTCTGTACCTTGGTGAGAGTGCAGTATTGAAGTCTCCTACCACCTATGTTTTCAGAGCTGATAGTAATTATCTAATGTATTTTGGTGCGCCCTCGTTGGGTGAGTATATACTGATGAGTGTTATGACTTTCTGCTGTATTGTCCCCTTGATCATTATATAGTGTCCTTTGGTGTCTCTTGCCACCTTTTTTAGTTGAAAGTCTGTTTTATCTGCTATAAGTATGGCTACCCCTGCCTTCTTTTGGGGCCATTTGATTGTTTGTGGAATTGTTTTCCAAACCTTTACTTTCAAGCTTGCTGATCTTTAGAAGTTAAGTGTGTTTCCTGGAAGCAGCAGGAATTTGGGTTCTGTTTTGAATCCAACATGCTACTGGTGAATTTAGTCCATTAACACTTAGATACATGG